ACAGGCCTCTAAGGTCTCTTTGGGGAGATAATGTGGCTTCCTAGCCTTTAACAGTTGACCACCCCTGCTATAGTGGATATCTGCCAGTTCCTAATAAGAGAGGAACATTGGACATGAAACTTCCCTCCTCCTCTTTTTTTGAGTAACCGTACTTTCCGGCGTATAAGACGACCCCCCATTTTTCCAGTCAAAATATAGAGTTTTAGCACCTCTATCCTCCTTATCCTTATACCCGGCGTATAAGACGACCCCCCCCCACTTTAACCACAGATTTTGCAGGTTTAAAAGTAGTCTTATACGCAGGAAAATAAGGTAAACGTTCTCTCTTTACCAGCCTAAAGGGACTGAGTTTGCTTAGACTCAGATAGCATGTTTTGCTCACAAATACAAACCTGTGAGAAGATACTGAAGAAGATACTGAAATATCCCCCATATTTATAGCACATATCATAAGTACAATTTAAAGCTGAGGAAAGCAGGCAGAATCTTAAGCACTGGCAATATGTTTAGAATTATTCTCATAGCTATGTTTTGTTTTATATATTTAATCAAGGCGAATCCTGATAGACAGCTCATATTTTTTTATTAGAAAGCAAACTTCACTGCTTGCTGTTTAGAAACAAAATGATGCTAACTTATTAGGATTTCAGAACTAATCATGTACACAGCCTGAAACTTTGTGCAGTGTTGTGTGTATAGACTGGAGTCCTACAACCATCTGCTGAACTGCAATCAGAAATTTCTGAATAACAACATTTTGATACCTTCATATCTCAATGAGTGATTATTCTTTCTTGTTCTGTGTGAAGTTGTGGTCCCTTTACATATACTGATGTTTCTGTGAAGAGGCTGTTCATCTGTGACAGAGCAGAGAACTTAGATTATGGGGCAGCTATATAAATATTGTAAGAAATAACAATTTAAATTGTTCAGTTGTTAAGGAAATGTACAATTCACCCTACTGTTACCACAATCGTTAGTTAGAACATGTATGTGTTTATATATTTATACTGATTGATCAGAAAATATTTTGGAGATGTTATCAGTTACACTTTAAAAAATTATATTACAGGTTATGCAAAGCTACCTTTCAAATGGTTTGACTACCTCAGGGAAACGGGTTCAGTAGCAGCTCCTGTGAAGCTTTTTAACAAGGTAAGCAGATATACAGATCGGAATGATTTGTGATGCTGTGCTTTGTATTCCTAATTACTTTGCTGATCACAGAGATCTGGGAAATGTTTTCTTTTGTGGTTGTTAGAGAAAGCATCTTAAATGCTATCAGAAAAGCACCTATTTTAACGGTAGCAGTTATTTTTTGATGGATTTAGTGTGTAGCTTTAAGACAGTGAGCTGTCACAGTGACTGAGGAAAGACAGGTGATAGCCTACAGTTCCAGTGTGGTCCCTCTGGAATGTGCTCCACTTGAATAATGCTATTTGGATACATTTGTCAAGATCAGAAATACCATGAGTTTAGTATAATGGCTGTGCCATTTGGTGGCTTTTTGAATATGTGGAGCAGCAAAATTCAGACATGTAAATTTCAGCAAGTCTTATTTTTCATAGACTTAGAGGTGGAACAGACCACCCTGAAGGGGTGGCTTGACGCCTCCCCTTTGAACGCCAGGTTGGGGATGCAGCAACCATATGCCGCAGCCACAATCTAGCTTTTTGCCAGCAAATAAAGGAGCAGCAAATTACCAATCCTTTTTGCGCTGCCTTTTCCTGTGCCGCCACGGCTTTGTGGTGTTCCTGTGGTGTGCAGCATGTAACCGCTGCACCGCCAAAGTGCTGCAAAGCTGTCCCCTGTGGTTGGGCAGGCGGCGTGACACTGGCTTCAGGACGCTGTAAGAGCATGCGGTGTCTAAATGCCGAGCTCTGAAGCCATCCCGAAGCTGGCGCAAAAGAAGAGTTTTAAAAACATTGTAAGATTGTCCCATTCTAAAATACATACATGAGTTTTCAAAAAACTTTGCAGTTGGGGATATGGTATAGATTGTACATTAAGGAAGAACTACAGGAGCTGGAAATACAGAACTATAGATAGTAGAATATATATGTTGAAGATAATTGAAGCAATGTCAGTATCTGTCATGAACAGAGGCTTGCCCTTCTTGAAACCATATCTAAAGTATGATCCACTGTGTTTCCAAGTTAATCTCTCCTTGAGACCCTGAACCCAGTGGCCCCATCCAGATTGGGAAAAAGGACATGGGTAACAGATTTGGGGAAATCCCACATACATATTAAATTGTATGTTGCTAGGTCATGTGTAACTATTTACCTGGGATTGGCAGGGCAAAAGTTCCCACAAGACAAAGAGAAGCAAATAAATTGGAGAGTCAAGATTACTTCAGGGCATAAAAGATTTTATATTTTAACTTTGATTGCCATGCTCAGTGTAACATGATTGTCTTGCTTCCCTATTCCAGGAAGTTCCAAACCATGGATTTCATGTTTCAATGAAATTGGAAGCTGTGGATCTCATGGAACCTCGTCTAGTATGTGTGGCCACTGTAACTCGCATTATCCACCGCCTGTTGAGGATACATTTTGATGGCTGGGAAGATGAGTATGATCAGTGGGTGGATTGTGAATCTCCTGACCTCTATCCTGTAGGATGGTGTCAGCTAACTGGTTACCAACTACAGCCTCCTGCATCACAAAGTAAGTAGAGTCTGTGTTACTGAACTATATTAGATTTCCTAGGGTGTGATTTACCTATCTTTCAACAACTTTGTTTCTATTTTAAGAGTTTCATCCACTTGTTAGGGTCCTGTCAAAATGGAACCAGCCTTCATTTAATACTCCAGAGGATGGGTCTAATTTGTCTTGTCTGTAGTCGATTGTGTTTCAGGGTTTTTATACTAGTACCTTCCAGTTTTGTCTTCTATGATTATTGATATTTGGAGGCTAAAGAGAGATTAAATTGCTCTTCAATATAGTACAACTGAAGAAAATGTCAGATCTATGCAATATAGGTCAGTCAATGATTCTGAATATTTGTGTAGACAGTTTTGAAAAGTATTTTCCTATCACTGTTTTCTAAGGTTGCTCTGTGTTTGTACAAGAGATCTTTGTCTCAGAATGAACAGTAGAAAACATAAATGCTGCTCTATGGATTACTGTGATCTTGGTTCAGAGGCATAGCAGTATTAGTGTGGAATATGAGTATGCAAAGGGATCTTGCAGTGCCTTTGGTACTAACTTTGGGATGTTGGTGCCCACCTTACTTCCCCCCCCCCTGTGTGCATTATTCTAGCTTACTGTTCTGCTCTCATCTATCTTTAGATTTCTTCTGTTTTATTTCTGTGTGAATATTGTGCTGTGACTCCTGATTTGTATTTCCTCTTCCTCTTTGCATTCACTGCAGTCTCTTAATGATGCCTTTATACTGGTCCAGTCACAACCGCTATGTTAATAGGCTAAGTAGAAAAGATTGTTTTGCTTACACACTGTCATATTCCCATAAAAAGTGTTAATTAAAATGGATTTAATTAATCTAATAAGGTACATGTGTAGTAAAATGGTTCTGTGCATAAAAGCTTTCATTTTTGCTTGACTGGTTGGGTGAGGCAGAAGTAAAAATATATTCTGAAAAGTTGTCCCCCATTTAACATTTCTTTATTTCTGACTGAATTGTTTGTGTTCCTTTCTGGTTAGAAACTCTTCTCATCAAACATAGAGCCTAATTATGCCTAATTAAAAACCATTGGGAGTCTGAAGTTTTAGTGGGAACAATGTAAGGCGTTTCCAGGAGGGCATTTGGAACAGAGGGTACTTAATCCATAAGGGTTTTTGTTATGCAGTCGTTGTAGTTTTATGGTGAGTGTAGTTCCTTAACCAAGTTACTCTAAAGTATATTGTGCCCCACAAAATGGTGTTGAATCAGAATTTTCTTTTTTAAAACATATATTTCAGCATCAAGAGATAGCCAGTCAAGTTCATCAAAGCAGAAGAAAAAGTCTAAGTCACAACAGTATAAAGGACACAAGAAAAGTGGGTAACAAAAATATTTGTTTTTACTATCCTATGAGAAATGTGTGGCATTTTCTATCAGGAAGTGGTTCATGCTTTTCAGTCAAATGTTTTCAAGTTTAAAAATAGATAGCGGCGCAAGGAGAACTCTTTATAAACTGAGAAATGTATTGTGAAGTGCAATATGTTTTATTCTGAAAGGTTTTAGCAAACCATGTGGAAATTTCTACTTAATATTTTGTTGGTTAGATATTTTCATATAAACATCTTTATTTCCAGAATGAGGAAGGTGGGAGTAGTTTGAAGTAGCGCCATCACTGTAAATGCTTTATAAGTAAAAGAACAACAGAACAGTTCCCTGCCCCCAGGCCTACAATCTTAAAATATGACACAAAAGGAAAAGGGGATGGCAATGTGGGAAGGGATCATGTCCAACTGATACTACCTCTTCTTCTCTCCCACCAAGGCCACAGCAGTGGCAGTTGGTATGGAGGGAGAGCCATTCATCTGCTTCTAATCCTAGTCATGGTGGAGCTCTACCTGCCAGTGTCTTCTTGAACAAGATAACTTGAGTAATACATTTTTATTGAGTTGCCCTTCTCACATAGCTGCAAAGTTCATGATGTCTTTTCACCTTCATACAGAACAGACTAAGTTGGAGAATGATCAGTTGTAATGAGACTGACAGACTAGTGTAAACTTATAAATTCTGGCTTGAAGAAAGGACCTTTTTGAAGCTGGAATTTAGAATATTTTGAATGTTTCCTTGGCTGCTGTCTTTATTTTGGCATCCTTTATATATTGTCCCATTTAATTTTCATACAGAAATGGAATCTTAAGGGGAACCATTTTTGAGATGGTTAAAGAGGCAAACAAGATTAAATGTATTAGAAAGACTCCTTTGCTTAGGAAGAATTTTAATTAGCACAGGTTGAGTCTCCCTTGTGCAGAAGTCTGAAATCTGAAATATTCCAAAAACCTCAAATTCTTTTTCATGGGTAGTTGACATAGTGTCAGGGAGCCAACATGGCATAATGGTTTGAGCATTAGACTACAACTCAGGAGACCAGGGTTCAAATCCCAGCTCAGCCATGAAACTCACTGCATGACCTTGGACAAGTCACATGCTCTCAGCCGCAGGGGAAGGCAGCGGCAAACCTCCTCTGAACAAATCTTGCCAATGACTTGAAGGCAAATAATACACACCACTAAGATAGTAACACCTTTGCTTTTCTGATGGTTCAATGTACACAAATTTTATTTCATACAAACATTATTTAAAATACTGTATAACATTACCTTCAGGCTAAATGATTTTTGTATTTAGATTTGGGTCTCATCTCCAAGGTATATCTCATTATGTACATATATGCAAATATGGGTATTCCAAAATCCAAAATAAAATACAATAAAATAATAATGATAATTCAAAATCAAAAGCATTTCTGATCCCAAGCATTTCAAACAGAGGAGCCTCAACCTGTACCATATATTTTGCAGACTGCCTTGAGTCCAAGTTCTGAAAAAAATGACAAGATATAAATATCATAATAATAATGCTGCTAATAATAATTGATTCCTAACTCCTTGGAATTACTGGCTGTCCAAAATTTAAGTTAGTAACATCATGTAGACTGTGAAATTGAGAAATAATAATAGAGATTATAATTTAAAACCCAGTTTTTTAATAGGCCCACATTAATGCAAGTTTGAGGTTATCTTAATGGCAATTCATGGCATATTAAAATCTAATTTCAGACTGCCTTGTTTATATTGGCCTTAATCCTGTTGGGGACACTATACTAGTGTAAATATAGTTATACAAGTAGTTGTGCTTTCTACTAGGTGGTGTAAGTGTGATGTGTAATACAGTCAACGTTTTTGCAGATGAACACACAGCCTTCTCTCTCACTTTTGTCTTGTCTTGAGCACCAGGAAAGCTCAAAAGTGCAGTGCCTGTTGGAGAATTGTAAGATCTACAGTAACCACCATGGCATATATTTACACAGCACTAGAACAATATAGGATCTTGGCCTTTGAATGAAAGTCTTATTAAATACATTTCTGTCTTTTGAAATAGGGCCCACTGGGTTTGGGCATTTAATTTCTCACATAATAAACCATAGTTCAGCAGCCAAGAATGAGTGCCATTAATAAAGAATATAGACCATGTGCTGACTCCTTACCCCTTGGCTTCTCCTGTCCTATGTGTTTAGATCTTAATCAAATTATAGCTAGTCATTACATTGTTATGTACATGCACAAGAGGGAGTTGCAGTTCAGTATCAATTTATTGACCTGGATATTGAGCCACATATTGAAGTTCATTTAAGATAATGTTTGGCAAACACATCTGATATTAAATCATAGTTCCCCATTCTGGAAATATCAACTAGTTACGCCATGATTACAAATGGAGGAGACAAGTGACAGGAGTTGAGTCACTAAGGTATTCCCAGTTGTCCATTTTTGGTTGTTAAGCTAGCTGAGAACTGAATGTTTAAAGAAGGGCACTGTTGTAAGTGGCGCTTCATCCTTAAGTCTATGTAAAACTATAAAGTAAATCCAAATTGACTCTGAATTTATTATACATTTCTTAAGAAAGCTTTGTGACTGGGCATGGATTAAAAATGAAAGCTAGATATAAAGCTATTTGGCAATAATAGCCACATAAATACACCAGATTTCCCTGGTATTCTCATCGGGCACATTGAAGGTTGCCTAGGCACTTGCAGTAGGTAATATCTAGTTCGCTTATATAAAAACAAAAAGAGAGGGGGAGAGAGAGCATCTTTTGTAGGTCATATTGGCTGGAGCTTACCTACATTCACGTAACCTGGTTGTTTTTTTTAATGTATGTACTTTAAGTTGTTTGCTCAAGGTGGTATTCTTTATCTCCTTGTGCAGTGTCTCTGCTCCTCCTCTCCTGGCACAAGGCAGGTTCACAACATCAGTTTGTGCTCCCATGGCCACTTGGTGGCAAAGGAAGACTGGCACAGTCATTTAGTGACAGGAAGAGGGCTGGGGATATCCAAACAGGGTTCATCTGCAGAATAGCAGCTGGATGCTCTCTTGCTCTCCCTTGGCCGCTAAATGTCATGGGCATTCACCAAGCCACCAAGAACATGTCTTGTGTAGCAGGGAGGGTGAAGGGGTGAAAAGAAGGCCTGTCTAAGTATGACCACAGAGTATTATGTTCTGCAAACTTGATACATTCTATTTCTTTATTGAGGAAGAAAGGTTGTGAATTGTTCTTTATGCTTCATCAGCATTTACTAATTTGTGACAGTCATTACAATATCTAACATAAGAAAATAGTGATTAGTATTATGTACATTTATTATCATTTAAAAATGAATTGTACCCACATTAAATGCCATTTGTTCATTGTAGTTAGCATTTTTAAAGTGTGAGGATTATTTCAGAGCAGCCATGTCAATGAAGATTTATATCAAAACTTTACCATGCTGCAGTGGAGTCATTAGGGGGGTGCGGTGGTGTGGACCACACTGGGTGACACTCCAGAAGGGAGGGGTTGACACCTGGTTAAGCCTTCCTCCCCCATGCTTTCCACTGCATGTGCTCCACCCACATGCTATCCCGTCCTTTTCTTCATCAGGTAAAGGATGGGGTGGCATGGGAGGAGGGAGCATGCGCCACTCCCTGAAAGGCCCACTCCCCTCACCGGGTGACATTTGGTGTGGTGAAGCCACTGCTGTGGTACATCCATGCCCTTTTCCAGTAACCTTCCTTGCAACTTGTAGTGATGTGCTGCAAAGATTATGGGCTCACTGTGCCGCCTATGCACCCAAGGGCCTTTGAATGCTATAACAGGGTGAGAGTGGAAAGAAGTTCTGTTGCTCTGGCACTTTTGCACTACCATCATATTTGAATTAGTCGTTAATGTCTCAAAGGCACTCTCTAGACAATTAGTATAGCTTTTTAAAGTGGGATGGGCAACTTTGACTGTACGCAGCAACAGCTCAGTATCATCATCAATATCAGCATCAGTATCAGTAGGGAAGAAATTTCCAAAATCAGAGGAAAAAGGAAACGAGATGCCTCTGAATTTGATTTGGAGCTTTTTCCTAAACCTTTCCCCAGCGATTCAAATGCAAAAGCTACTGCTTTTTGAGGCTTCCAGAAATGGCAAAACCTTTTTTAAAAATCAACATAGAGAGTACAAATTGCAAAGAAAGGCCTTGGGACTGCACTGGTCAATGGGCTACAATTTGTCCATTCATGATCTAAAAGATGGCTTGTATATTAGGAAAAACATTCCTGACTATAAAGTCTGCCTAATGGAGTGCATTCATCAACTTAGGAAGTAATAGAATTTTTTCTTTTTCTGAGGGATATTGTCACTGGGTAACAATCTTCCATCGGTATTTTTGAAGAACAAGACAAGGGACATTTTTGTTAATTGGATATACAGTTGGCCCTCCACATTTGCAGGGGGCTAGAGGAACAAGACCCCTGCAAATGTAGAAAAAACACAAATAACACCCCCCATGCAGAAGCCAGTTAAAGGGAGGAGTAGGCAGAGGAAGAGGAGCAGGGGTGCATGCTCCTTTTTTCCAGCCCTCCCGTCCTTTTATCTGGCTCCCTGCGCCTTTCCCGACCAGATCACTGCTTTCTCCAATAAAATTCAATAAAACTTTTAACAGATAGTTTGAAAATATGTTTTTAAAATTCTTAATAGTGTGTAAGATGTTTCAAATATATATAGATATAAAGTTCTGTGAACTTAATTCTCATATTCTTTAATATGTAATTCCTTGGCAAGGAATGCACAAATCCTACTGTTTGGATTTTGGAATTAGAAAAGTTTATGGCACCTTATAGATTCAACATATCTATTTGGAAAATTAAAGTTTCAGTTTTTTATGTTGTACCAAAGAACCCAAACACCAGTTGAGTAGATTCATCACCTATATGTGTGAAGCACAGTGAATTTTTAAAAAGGCAGATTACTTGCCTGTAACTGATATGCTTTGAGGGGTGATCTGTGCATTCAAACAACTTGCCTATACTCCCTTGGTGACACATTTGTGGTATACTCTTTGCCACAACTATGGGCCTTTACAAACTGCCAGCAATAATGCAGCTTGAGTCCACTTTAACTGCCCTGGCTCAATGCTAGGGAATAATGGGAACTGTAGTTTATTGTGGCACCAGAGCTCTCTGACAGAGAAGGCTCAATGCCTCAGAATAAACTACAATTCCCATGATTCCCGAGCACTGAGCCAGGACAGTTAAAGTGGCCTCAAGCTGCATTATTTCTGGCAGTCTGTAAAGGCCTATGCTGACTGTTAATAAACTGAGGAGGAGGTGATGCCTTTGGAATGCACATAAGGAAGGGAACAGGGTGATATCTAAAAGTTCCCAAAAGATGATGATTTGCATATCCATATGTGTGTATCAGATGACCACTGAAAGAATACCAGTTATAGGTAAGCAACTTATCTTTCTTACTTCTCAGATCTCCATAATATACAGTCTGGGTTATAGTTTTTTGTGGGTTTTTCGGGCTGTGTGGCCATGTTCAAGAAGAGTTTCTTTCTGACGTTTCGCCAGCATCTGTGGCTGGGTAGGGAGGAGTGATTCCCAACTATCAGGTCAGAATGCACAGGGAAGCCATCAAAATTCACAAACA